AGGGACCTGCGTTGCCTCAGCGGAGCAGCGGGGCTACACTGCTCCCGCTTTCCAGTGGCTGGCGTATCGAACCTCCTACGTACAGACCACAAAGACTGCAACGTCGCATTTCCTTACTTGATATACCTCGATAATGAAAACAATTTAGTTTACTTCACTCGAGGAGACTCTGCGAAGGGGAGCAGGAGGAGCTGCAAGCGAGTGATCCGCGCCTTCGTGCGGAGGCGCAGGCGCATGCAGGCGACTGCTTAGGTTTAGTTTTTTTTTGAATTCACGTTGAAGCAGACATCCGGCTAAGGAAGATGAAGCATGTGGGTGTCTGGGGGGTTGTTCTCCTGCTCTCTCCTTCCCCGTGCTGCCTACAGTGGGTCGCAGCTTCGGAGTCGCCGGCTGTCTACCGGCCGGAGGAAGTAAATGCGGAAGTACAGAATGAAAACTGGGGACAAGCAGTGGACTCGCTAATAGAAACAGAGTCCTCCCAGCAGCAGAGTTTGCAAACATCGCTTGATGCTGCAGAGAACCCGGGAGAGGCTGCGGCACCAGTAGCCGAGGGCGCTGGAGCCCTAGCAGATGACGCTGCCGATTCCAACAAAACTGAGGGCTTGAAAGCGTCCGCTAAGAATGTGGCCATTGGGGCCTCCCTGTTGTTGTTCTTTATGGGTTTGTTCCTCCTCACCGGGAAGAAGGGGGCGGCAGCCCCGCCGTCTTTCGACGAAGAGGAGGAGCCCTTGAAAGAACCCGAGCTGACTCCTGAAGAGCAGCGTGAACGACAACTCGAGCGCATGCAAGAGATTTGTGATGCTGCAGAGAAAATCGCGACTGCGACCGGAGCCGCTGAGGCCGACGTGTTGCATGCAGGGATGAAGAAGAATCTGCAACAGGCGAGGGAAGCACCGGATGAACGGACTTTTAAAGACCACATAGCTGCTGCTAATAATTTAGCCAGCGAAGTGGATGCGTTGGCGAAGGATTATATCTTTGCCCTGGTGGAGAAACACGCTACTGCGCCCCCGTTTCCGGATGTGACCCTTAAGGAAGAAGAGAAAGATGTACCGCTCCTGGAACTGCTTGAAGGGTTCGGCGGAAGCACGTCAGTGCGATGTGCCGCCAAGGCCCTGCGGTCTCTGAAGGATAAAGCAGAAAACGCTTCGGAGACCGTTAGGAAGGTCGGCGATTACCTCACAAACACCCCTACCTATAAGAACGATGAAGACAAAGCTCGGCTGGAGCAAAGAGCCAGCGGAATTGAATACCTAAATGCCATGGTTGCTTCCCATTCACGAGACCTGGCGGTCGGGTCCAAGCTGAAAGAAGTGGCTGTTGAAGGTTTTCATACGTTGCTGTTTCGGGATCACAAGGAGTCGGTTTTGTTGTACGATGGCGACTGCGACCTGTTGAAGATAACGCTAAATGCAATGCAAACACGAGATCTGCCCCCCGGAGTAGATGTCTCAGAGTACAAGAACGAATGCACTTCTGTGGAGAAACGAATAAACGACCTCCAGGGGCGAGTAGATGAGATGCGCACGCATCTCGAAGAGGTGCAACGCAGTCGGTCTTTGCAAGCATCGTATCGAACGAGTCTTGAACTTGGGAAGATTTCGGAACAGGCGGCAGCAGAAGTGAACGCATTGTGGGCGGTTTTAGAGGAACTAAATATTGGGTTTGAAGCAGGTGGCTATCGGAACAGAGATTTGGTTCCTGATCGGATCAAGCGTGCATGTGATACAGTCACCCCCGAGTGCAACGCCATTCTGAACAGGCTAAGGGAAGTGAGAAAACGAGTCGATAACCTCAGCAAAGATCGGCAGGGCGCTTCTGGTGGTTTCCCACTCAATCAGTCTATTCTGGCCAACATTTTGTCTTCTGTTGAAGGACTACAGAAAATGGCAGATGTTATTGAGGGGAAAGCCAGAGAAATAGTGCAGATATACCCCGGCATTACTAATCCCAAAGACGTTTCTGATCTCTCTGCTGAGTATAAAGATCACTTGATCGCTTTGACGAGAGGAAGAGCGACTGCAGATTTGTCGAATGTGGAGGTCACGCTGTTCACTATCTTTGAAGACGAACTCAGACGGCTAGTTAAGGATGCTGAGGAGGCCTCAGCATTCAAATTTCCCTTAAATTCGCCGCTTGAGAAGAAGATGTTTCGACTGAAAATGCGATTTGATGAAAAAGCTGAAGTTGGAAAACACGCAGAGACGCTTACAACCGTGGAGGAGGCGTTAGCCTCTTCGAGAGTTGTTTTATTTTCCATGCACCAACTAATTCGTGATTCCCTGATGCGAAATGTACATTGAATGCATCTTATTGAAGTGCATTCGACACATCAGTTGCGTCAAGCCTCCGCAGCGGGGTTTCGTTTATTCCAATAATCTGCGTCCGCCTACAAACTTAGCAAGCTTTCAACGATGGAGGAGCGCCCACCTGAACATGACGTCAGGTAGTATGGGCCAAATACTCGGTGTTCCGCGACTTCTGCCTTCTGGCAGATGCTGAGATGTGCGGTGTGAAGTGTTGATCCGTACGTTTTTATTGTTCTCCTATCGCCCCTATCTATAAAGTAGACGATCCGGCGTATTTTAAAGCTGGTTTTCTA